AAGAAGGAAAAAAAGAGGGGGAGGGGCCAGGGGGGGGGGGGGGGATACCTCCCTCCTCTTGTCTACCGAGGGATGATGCGCACAAGAGTCCCGCACGCGCGACGGCAGCCCAGAAAACGCACAGCCCCGTTCACACGGCCGATCGTGCTAGGTGAACAAAGGCTTGCTCGTTACTCTCACCATTCGGTTAGCAACCCTTTGACTGAGTGAAATGGCGCCCGGGACTAACTAGCCCGCAGCTTCTCGGGGTTCTATTCCAGGCCCTAAGTGGTGTCTCGCCTACGGGACGACTAGCCCCCCTCTACTCTCCGGCCGCGTGTCCCCGTCCTTAACAACGCGCAGTCCCACTAGATACCTGCCGGATCCGGCTCGGTCAGCAGCCACGGCACCCCCCAGCGCTTCATGCAGCCTGCGGAGCCCCACTCGGGGGGCAGGAACCTCGCGTCGCGGCGCTCCGGAAGCTTCCTCTGCCCCCTCGTCCACTCCCCTCGCCCCCCCTCCCAGCCAAGCTGGACGGTGGTGAGCTCGGCCGCGCTCTCGCGCGTCCAAAGGGAAGGCACCCACACGGCGGCGACGGCGGCCGCCAGTGTCGCTACCAAGGCCTTCAAGACCCTATTAGGTGACAACGAATGGCGGGGGGGGGGGGCTCATGTAAACGCGTGCCGTAGTCGTGAGACCATTGACCTCGCATCCCTACAGAATGCCGGGACGAACGTGCTGGGGGGGGGGCGGGGGGTGACATGAAGTGACCCTACCAGGGAGGTTTTCCGTGCGACTGCGGATCGGAGCACCAGGTAGGGAGGCAAGACCCAACACAGCAAAGTAGGAACAAACTGCGGAAACTGCGGGCGACGCCTAAGTCTCAAATAAGTTGGACGATGACGAAAAAAGTCGTTGGAACCCTTGGGTTTCAGCCCCATCTACACAACCAACCCCGGCGTCCCGGAATAAATCTGATTGTACTGTATCCCACGATTGTCCCGCACAGATGGGCGCTCCAAGCGGCACAGCGTTCGGAGAATGAACGAGGCAGAGGCCACCGAGAAGGTTTATACTATGTTTAGTAGTTTGTTGATGGATCTACTGACTGGTGATACGTACGCATTTGTTCAAGAAGGACACGATGTGCTCCTATATATTATAGTACCGATTTGCACGAAGTAACCCCGCCGACAACAACAACAGTAATAATTTCGAAATCACATCTCGAGAGCAAAATGGTCGGTAGCAAAATGGTCGGTAGCACAATAATATCGAAATCGTAGAGAGGAACGTACAATGGTCGGTAGCAAAATTGTCGAAATCGTAGAGAGGAACGTACACAGGTATAAAACAGAGCCGTATTCAATTCTCCATTCGTTTCCGCGACAATGATTCTCATCATTAAACAGGCATGTAGCGTTTACGACGAAGGTTCCAAGAATCGATCGAAGAGGGCCTCGTTCTCTCACCGCCGCCGCCGTCGTACGCAATAAGCCTCCGTGATGCTCCTACTACTACTGTAGTAACTTCGATGGACGGTATGTTCACCCTCCTCCGCCCTCTCCATGGACGAACCCGCCGCCGGTTCCTCGGCCCTCTGTTTGACCATCGGCTCCGACTCATCCTCGTCGCCTACCGCTGACGACATTGACTGATAGCCAGCCCTCACGACAGCGAAGAATAGTGCAAGGATGCGCCTGGGAAGCAGCAGGGCCGGGATTTATTTTTCGTGTATTAAATGCCTGCAAGAATCACATGAAGACGGACGCGCCCCCCCATCCTTCAAGCCGATGTTTGAAGTCTGCCTCCGACAGGCTTCTCGAAAAACCCGTCCACTACGATACTAACACTTTCTGTCAGGGTCGCCAAATAACCATGATCAACCACTATCATCACATGTATGTATGTATGTCATGTCTACCTCCAAATACCATAATAACATCGGTCATTATTGTGTGTAACAAACGACAAGGTACTTGTATACAAGTACGAAGCATAGCATTGACTGGTCACCAGGAGACAGACGCGGGTTCACGAAAGAATACTCGAGGTGCCAAGTCCCGGTCACGCTGAGGAGCAGCAAACGACCAGGTCGAAAACAAGTCACGCCCGCGAACGCGGGGGGGGGTGCCACGAGAATAAGCACGCGTACCTACACATATATAATAGTAAGTGCGTCTTAGTAGGCAATGCGTGTTTGGCACGAGAGGGTGGAAGAATACTTGCTCCGTTGCTCCGTTGACCAAGGTGAGGATTCCGCTGTCAGTCTGCTATCTAGCACGTGCAGGGGCAGAGGATAGCAGGGATCGAAAACCACTGATAGTAAACCCTGCAACAACAATACACGAGGAAGGAGGTCTTTGCCCCCCCCTTCCCCCCCCCCTTTCCCTCTCC